CCATCGCGCCAGGCGAGGGCCGGGCGCGGCGCGGCGGGGCCGTCGATAGTGGGGTGAGGTTGCGCCAGCCCCCCGAGGGCCTGCTGCGTAGTATGAAATCATTCAGGTTTCCTCGTGATACGACGCATTCCACGGCCCTATGCAGATGCGGCAGCGGCTGCTTCGTAGCCTGAGGGAGCGCACGCCGCCAACGCATACCCGCCCACACCGCATGCATGTTCCAAGCCTGCATCCAAACTCACCTGCCAAGCTATCGGTCGGCCACAGAGTCCTCTATGCCTACGTGACACTGGTTCTGGGGTTGAGCTGGTCCCTGGATGATCCTGGCCGGGGTGATGCTGTCGCGCCGAGTTCAACGCGACACCACGCCCTCAGCCAGAGCGGCCATAGATATGAATGACGTGGGCACCGCCTGAGGGGACTTGGCTGGCTGCGGTGCACATGCTTGCAATCTTCGTTGCGCCCCGGGCCGCGGGATGGGGCACAACTACTATGTGAATATGCTGCATCTATGTATGACACAGAGGCCCGCCAACCTGTAAAGTTGGGCCTGGTGCGTCTGAATCCGCCGCTTGCCGAGACAGAATCCACGTGAGGCGCTTCCGCCTGAATGCGGCATGACGCAGGGTTGGCGGCTGCGGCACGCCACTTCAACAGCCTGTCTGCCCAGTTTCCGCGATTCACAAAGCACAATATTTACTGGGACCGAGCACGTTGCAGCGTTCATACATATGTCATCGCCCGGGGTTGATCTTGGGCACACACCGCTGGAACCCAGCCTAACAAGGAAGGAAATATCTCGCCTTCAAAGACCCGGCCTTTCCGGGCAGCCCGGGTCGCGCATGAGCCACATACACTCAGGCTGAAGCCGTATGCCAGCTGCACATGCGCCCCTCAGCACGCCCATCACCTTCACACTGCTGTCAAGCTCGCCCTTGCTACTCGTGAACCCAATCTGATCTTGCCCACCCGATCATATCCGCCACGGCCGTCCCAGGAATGCGTGCAGCGCGGGCCTGAGCGGTGGCAGCACGCCTATTGAAACATAAAATTGGTTGCGACCAGCGTAGACGGCTGGGCGGCGATGTAAGCCACAGCATGCTAGGGTTCGTTGTCACACACGATGCGCTCTGGTTGGCACAACGCATGCTTTAGCAGCCATTGCTGAATCTTTCCCATGCCAGCTGTCCTAGGCTGATCGTGCTGCCCCGATACTGGCTGCCCTCACACTGGCTCTTTTCGGGTGTTCCTGGGTCCGGCCGCATTATTGTGCCCGCCCGGCCGCCGTCAAAGAGGAATCCCTTCGCAAGGCAATCACGCACATGGCACCTTACTTAGATGATCAGTGACAAGAACCTCTGCGATCCTCACACAGACCAGGCCTGCCGCAATCAATGAATATTCAATACACTCAGCCGCCGCCACGGCTGGCCCACAGGGCTGGCCCCGCATGTTCCAGCGGCGCCCGTCGGGCACGGCTGGGCAGCTGCCAGCTACCCGCTGTACCGCCCCGCCAGCTCAGCGGGTGGCAGCTCCTCCATGATGTCAGGGTTTAGAGCAAGGTGCTGCCGCACCTGGAAAGGACGCGGATGTGAAATGGCAGGACGCTGTTGGCCGCAGAGACTGCGTCACCGCAGGGTCCGCTGCCGCGCCCAGCGCGCTATGCCCGCTGCGTGCGCCCTGGTCGTGTCGACAGGCCTGATCGTTGAGCCGCAGCCTGGGGCACATGGCGCCCGGGTGTCCGGTCTGCCGCTCGCGTGCATGGCAAAAGCATGCATGCGCACGCGCGTACACACACACACACACACACACGTGCAGAGCGCAGGCACCCTGCCTCGCGCGCCCCCGCCCCTCATCTCCCTACCGTTGTCTGGCGGTCGGCGAGGAATGTGGCGTCCAGGAAAGACTCATAGGCCTCCGGGCAGCAGGACTTAGCCGCGAGGACGCAGTGGCGCAAATACACCCTGGGTGCGGTGCGGGGTGAGCAGCAGGGGAGAGGGGGGGCAACCTGATTCGGCCTGCAGCTTGAGGGTGCTCAGATGGGTATGCAATGTGCACAAGGGGAGGATAGCGGCCGCCCGGTCTGAGAGGCGCTCGGCACGCGTCGTGTGCTTCTTCGCGTGCACACGCCCCTCCCGCCCGCAGATCACACATGCACAACCACACGCCAGACACGTGTACTCACACACTCATGCATGCACGCACATGCCCTTCCCTGACGCAGAGACCCACTTGCACGCGCGCGCGCGTGTGTGTGCGCGTGCGCACGCCCACCTCACCTGCAGGGCAGCACATCGTCGCGCCAGACGCGGTCGATCCCCCAGACCCCCCACCGCCGGGCCCACTCGTCAGGGGGACAGCGGGTCGCTTTGTAGTGCTCATCCGTGTTGGCTGCGCAGATCACCTGCGGCAGCAGCGGCGATGCAGGCGCGAGAGCAGGCCAGGCGTGCCTGGGCCTGCTGGCCACCCTACCGCTCAGGCCGTTTTGCGGAGCTGTGCACGGTCTGCCCCTCCTGCCGACGGCCAGACTGACGGCCAGAACCGACGGCCACATCGGGGTGTCGGTCCAGAAGAGCAGTGCGTTGGCTTCAACTTGAGCTGCGTTCCAGCCGCCTGCTCAGCCCACAAGACAGGTTGGAAGTCAACTAGCACCGTTGGACGCTGCGAGGCTGACTCACCGCCAGCCGCTCGTCGCCGCCACCATGCAACGCCTCGGGCCGCACCGCCACGAACCGAAACTCCTGAGCCGGAGCAGCAGGAGGCGGCGAGCGGTCGCGTGTGCCGCGGGCCAGGCGCATGCAAAAGCAAGGGCCGGCTGCACCCTTTTAGGTGTGGCAGGCGCCTGCCCGAGCTCGCTTGCAGACCCACTGTCAGACGCAGGGGAGCGCAGGGGCCAAGCATTAGGAGCGTGGCCCTGATAACGCTCACGTGCTCCCTGGCAATGAAGGCCCGTACAGCCTCAGGGTTGAAAGGCACCTGGCAGGGCCAAGCGGCGGGGATGGAGCCAGGGGATGCAGTGTGGGTGATATGGGTGGCAAGGCTGCTGGCGCCGCAACTGCGATTTGCGGCGTGCCAAAAACAGCGCCAGACTTGAGGGGCCCCAAGCCACGCCTTTCAGGGATCCAAGCAATCAGCGGCTCGGTGCAACACGTCACACGACCGATGACGTACAAACCCGGCTCATCACTTTTGAAAGGGGCCCCACTTCTCTTGCTCCCCTGGCTGCGCACCTCAAAGAGGGCCACCACCAGCTCAGCCCCGGGGCAGGGCTCGCAGCTCAGGGAGGAGATCTCGCCCTGCGGCGCGGTCGAAAAGGGTTGGGGGTTCATTGGGGTCGAGCATGCGACTCACAGGGCGCCTCGTTGGTAGAGCAGCCGGCGCCAGCGGCCTGGGCAGGCGGCCGAAAAAAATATCACGGCTGCTTCGCCCATTTGTAGACTGCGAAGCGCCCCCTCACTGGCAGCCGTTGGGCGCGGGGCGGCGGGCGGGGCGGCCGCCCGCGCAAAGTGGAGCGGCTCGGCGCGCACCGTCTCCGCCCGCGCGATGCCGCGCGCCCAAAACACGTCGGCTGTGTGGGCAAACACCCGCCGCCAGCCGCGCAGCCGGGCGGCCCTGAAGGATTGTAGGTCAGGGAACGTCGTCCGCGCGCTGCGCTCTTCGGTGGTGACGGGGCGCCGACGAGGCGGGCGCGGGCGGGTCGAATGGTGGTTTGGATAGCGTGGCGCTTCCATGTGAACTATACGCGAGATGCGGTAGGAGAAAAGAGAGCGGCATGCGCAAGCGGGACAGCACTCGTGAGGGCGCGAGCCGGCTGCGGCACCCGGCGCAGCTGCGGATGGCGCACGGCACAGGCCCAGGGGTGGCTGCCCCAGCCACCCGCTCACCGCTCAGCAGGCTCCCAAAGCCGGCCACCGTCATCATCCCATCCGCGCCGGCCAGGCCGGCGAACGAGTCGTCTAGTTCATCTCCGGGCTGCACCACATCGCCGCTGACTGCAGCTGTCATCGCGCCGGCCGCTCGCACTGCAGGGCCGTCCCGCACTGTAGGGACCCAGCACTGGCGTGGGGTGTGCTCATGGCCCACGCCCCGCCCGCTCGGCCTGCAGCGGCGCCTGTCAGCGCGCAGCTTGCTGTTGCTTGATCCTTTCAACCTAGTTTTTGGTACAACGCTACATGCAGCAATCATAGAATTGTGATGCAAAAAGTGATCAGCCAGATCACCCACCCTACGGTAAAGACTGCAAAGGGCTGGGCGCACCAATGAGAATTTGCTTGCTGGTGTTGATATTGCAGCGATTTTGCTGAATATGCTCCAGCGATCGTATCATCATAGCGGGTGGGTGTCACCCGCGCCATCTGCCCTCAACAACAATTGCTCCCTTTGCACTTTCCCGCATCGTACGTGTTCAAACAAACTCGTCAGTATATAAACCTACCTTCCCACCTTCCTCTTGCACCCAACTCGCAATTGGCGCCAGGTCCGACAAAGCTGCCTCGCCGACACCTCGGTGCCACTTTTGGGCCAGCAGCCTGCTGGTTGAGATCAACTCACATCAATTATTCCATCAGCTTGTCTCGGACCGCCATTGCTGCCGGCCGGCGAAGGGACCTGTGTGCCCGTCGTCCAGGCTCTCAGGGCCTAGGACGCTGCTTTAGCAGCCCTAGTAGACATCTCAGGACTGCAGATACCCCCTGGCACGCCGCGCCGCGGGCAACAACAAACCTTGAGAGACGCGTGCGCACACGCCCAGGCCTGTCGGCCGACAGCAGCCACCACGAGGCACTACTCTCTGTCCCACGCTGCGCTCAGCGCCATTTCGGACCAGACCATCCACGGCCGCGGCATGGCGATGGACGCGGACTTTGCGTCGGACCAGGTGCAGCAGCAGCAGCCGCAGCAGCACGACACCGCGCTGACCAAGCAGATGAACGTGCAGCACCTCTGCGACCACCGGTGCAGCGTGCAGCACATGTTCGGCAATGCATTCCGTTGCCAGTCAAGCGGCCAGGTGCGCCGGCGCAGCGGGGTCGGCTGTGAGCGCGGCATGGGGCGTGCAGCATTCGTCTGGTCAAGGGTGGCGGCGGCGCCAATGCGTGGCAGTTGGTTCTGGACTGTTCCTGCCCTCTGGGCGTCTCGCGCTCGCGGCCCGGCTGCAGCGGCAGCGCCGCACCTGCGCCTGCTCTCATGCGACACCCGCATGTTGCGGGCTGCTGCAGAAACTTTACCGCGCCATGTTCTCGCGGCGCTCAGGCGCTGAAGCCCGACGCCCGCGCTCGCCCGCTCCCTCCGCCGCTCCCTCCCCGCAGCTGCATGTGTGCGACGCCAATTGCACCCAGCGGGTCTACAACGACCGGTACTCCACGATCTGCCGCATCAGCCGGAAGGTCTTTGCCAACGCCTGGGCGGCTCCGGCGCCGTGCAGGTGTGTGGGCAGCGCCGCACGCCGCAGCTGCCGCGCTGCAGCACCGGGCAACCTCTTCGCGGGTGGGATCTGCCACGCGACGCCAGCCACAACGATTCAGCCGCCGCGCCCTTCACGTTTGCGTATCATTTCGCGCTCTCACGCGCAACCCCTTTCTTCCTGTCCTGCAGGAAGCGGTCGTGCTCATTCTCCGAGGAGGCCCCCGCCGACGCGTGCCGCAAGCGCGGCCCGGGCGCGCCCGCCGCATGCCCCGACGTCCCGGGCTTTTACGCGGCCGGCCCCGGCAGCCAGGGGGACGCCATGGTGATGTGACGACCTTTGGCTCCTCGCCTCGGGACGCCCCTGCCGTCTGTGGCGCAGCTCGCCAGGCCCGGGCCCCCGCTGGCTCAATGGGCGACATAGTAGTGTCTTGATCCACGCCTGCACGCCGCGATTTCTGGCGGCCACCGCTGGGGGGTCTGAGCGTCTGCACCTCTCCATCTGATCAAGTGTCTTTACCTACTATGTTTTTTTCCCACGCCTGCGGCCGCGGCGCACGGGACCCGCGCCCCACTCATGTCATGAGGGGCGGCCCGAGGATAGTCTCGGTTCCAGTAGCGATGGATACTAGCGTGCGGCCCTGTGTCGCGCGCCCGGGGCCAGCCCAAGCACGACCCTGGCTGCGATCGATGAGACCCCGTCACCTTCGCCCCCACTTTGACCCCGCCAGCCCTGGTTCTTCCCTACCCAACACAGTGCTGTGCGCTGACCCGCCCAAGCGCCTCCTTCAGCCTTCAACACTGATTTTATTTTGGGATGCCTGACTAACAACAAAAAGCACATACAACGCACGACAGGCGCAGACCCAGTCACACAGACACAGGATGGTTTTAAGCGTGACGGTATCTGACCTTGAGCGCAGCCCCCCTTGCAGCGCAGCGCAGCGCAGCCCAGTGCAGTGCAGTGCAGTGCAGCCTCTGAAAGTGCTGAACACGCACTACCAACGACCCACCGTCCCGCAAGACACCCGCGCCCGCGCGACGCGGGCTCTCGCACGCACGGCCCGGCGACGGGTTTTGGTCCGCCTCTCCTTCTTGCTTCACCTGGGGCTCGTTGTCGCCCCAGTGTCGCGCCACTTTTGCACTATTTTTTAGAGGCTTTGAAGCTGACACACGCGCGCATGCCCTCGGTTGGTATGTGCATGTGCGCATACCCGCTGCGTACGCAGGTGATGACATGCGGCCAAGGCCGGAAACACCCCGGCTCGATTTTTTTTAGCTGGACCGTCTCGGGGGAAAAGGCGCCGCAGTGCCTCGCATGCGTGAGCATGTGATCAACAAGAACAGCAAGCTGGCCTCGGCCGTGGGCCCGCCCTCCTCCCGAATCCCGCGCTCTCAAGATGCCCCATCCACCCTTGCGGCGGCGGTCTCAGCAAGTGTTCCTCTGGGGCGCAGCCCTTGCTGTTGGAACGCCGGGGTGCGTTCAATCTGTAATCTTCTGGACTGTCTCACAGTGTACATGCAAGCTCATGCGAGTGTGCGGACGCTCGTGCGCGCGCGCGTGTGTGTGTGTGTGTGTGTGTGGAGAAGGAGAAGTACTCATGCAGGGGTGGTGTGCATGTGCCGTAGTCAACTGGACTGGCAGAAAGATAAGAGTGCGAAGCGTAGCTAGCCACCTCTGGTCGACCCCCCCACATGCGGAGCATCAAGGTTCCTGATGTGATTGCGCCATGCGTGCCTGGCGTGTCAGCGGGAAGCTCGTGGCACGCCGTATGCGCTCTGGCAGGCTCGTGCGGTCACCCCGCCCATCAATCAAACGTTATTACTTTTACTCCTGTCGAACGCGCCACTCATTCTTGGCATGCTGCCACACTGCCATGGCCCTCCTCCCCCACCCTCCGCAAGCTCAGTCGACCCAGCCTGGCATACTTTGCAACTTGCTCTGTGCGTTTGCATGCCCGCGATCACTTGTGTGAACTTGCCAGGTGTGGTCCTCTCCAAAACTGGGTCACCACCTGCTTCCGCGACGGGCCCGCGAGCCAGCAACACGCCCCAGCGGGAGAACCCAAATCAGCATGACCGGCAGCTGTCACCGCACGAGACACACTGCGCTGTTGCGCTCGGTGTGTCCGCCTGCAGCCCGTATCCAGGGCTCAAGAGAGTTTGACCCATGGCTCACTGCTTGCTACTTTATGGGTCAGTGATTCACTGTGATAGATTGCCACCTGTCAGGGCCATTGGTTTATAGGAGGCATCGGGGTCAATGGCGCCACTCGCACTGGCCGCGGACATGTGACAAATGGACTGCGGCGAGGCCAAGGCCAAGGCCAGGCGCCCCCACAAGAATGAGATCTGGGTCTCAAGAGGTAGATCACGCTTGTGCTTTAAATTTTCAACATGAATTCAAACGCAAACAACCTGCCCAGCCTAGTCGCGCTGCTGAAATCTCGAACAGTGCCTGCCTGGTGCCGTCTCCTTACTGCACAGGGGCCCGGCTTTCTTTGATGCAAGTGCGCTTGTAACACGATTTGAGGACAGTTACATGCATTTGTAGTTCTTGATCGCTTACGCACACACGCCTGGCTTCTTTTTCGCCACCCGCGGCACCTCATTGGCTCCGGCGCTCGTCATAACCAGATATAGCCTGACTAAAAGCGATGCAGCAGCTCTCATGCCTGCGGCCAAGGCTGCAGACAGTGTCGGTGCCGCGACGATGCAGCGCCGGGCTCCAGCCGCTGCGCCTGGCAAACCGCGCTCACCTCAACAGGTGCGATTGATGAACAATGGGTTACCTGCTCCAAACAAAGCATTATTGAGTGCCTTGGAACGTATCACAAAGCCATCAGCTGCCGCGCCAGCAGCTGCGACGTCGGCCGTTTCGCAGTGGCGAGAGCAGTGGCCCGCTCTTCACCTGGCGACGCCTGCGGTCCCGCAGGCTGCGCACCGCGGCGGCGGACGGAGCTGAGTCGGTGGCGGCGCCTCAGGAGGAGGTTGACATTGAGGATGAGGTGGAGGCATTCATGAAGCGGCAGGCCGAGCTTGAGAGCGGCGGTGAGGGGGTCTCACGCTCATATCCAGGCTGCGCGGTTCCAGGCCCCGCCGGAACAGCATGCGGCGGCGCAAGAAAGGAGCGGCATGTTGGACATGCGCAGCAGCTGCTTGTGCGTTCTGTAAAAGCCCTTTGATCTGGGGGCCAGGCGGCGGCACTTGGTGGAGAAGAGGACCTCCTGGCAGCTGCACCGCGGCGGCCAATTGCTCATGCGGCAAGCGGTCGCATGCACCTATACCCAACCCGGCGTCGCAGCCCACGCCGCCATGCAACGCGACGCCCCCCCTCGCAGAGGCGTTCGCACGCACGCGCGACCCCGAAAAGATCATCGGCGCTGATCTGGTGTCGGAGGAGGTGGGCTTGCCTGCGCTGCGTGCGCTGCGCACGCTGTGGTGACCGCGTGCGCTGCGCACGCTGTGGTGACTGCGCCGGCGCAGCACAGTCCTCGGCATGCGCAAGGGCCGCGCGCCCGCTCACGCGACCATGCGTGCATGCGTGCAGGCACACACACGCGAGCCTGGCCGTGACACACGCGTGCGGTGAACCCCCCTTGTTCCCTCGTCGAGCGGCACCTGCTCCCCCGGCGGCCGAAGCCTGCCTCATAGGTGCTGGACCGTTTGCGCACACAACCACACCTGTGGCATCCCTCTACATCACATACATGCACACACACACATATGCACACACAGACAAACTCACGCACACACACATGCGCCCACACATACACACACACATGTGCACACACACACTTTCCACCCGCCATGCAACGCACCCACCATGCAACCACACCACTGCAACCCCCAAACCCCACCCCCAGGAGGCCAAGGCGTACTGCCGAGAGGTGGTGTCGTTCCTGCGGGCGCTGAAGGCCAACAGGGACATGACGGTCAACGAGGCCAAGCTGGTGATAGCCATTGAGGACCCCCGCGCGCGGGAGAGGCGGCAGTTGGGCATCGAGGTGGGCAGGCTTGCGCGCCGGCGACGGGCTGGGCGCACATGCATGCCCATGTGCAAGGGCGGCTTATCGCGGGCGTGGTTTGATTTCGTCCCGCGTTCTGGCCGGCCTGCGTGGCCTTGAGTCCATGGGGGTTGGTACGCCCTCGCATAACCCTCCAGGCGCGCACATGCTTGCATGAATGCACCCACGCATCGGCAGACGCACGCGCATGCGTGTACACACACACGTTGTGCTCGCGCATGCACACGCACCTGCATGCACTGATACTCGGGTGCACAAACACTCACACGTATGCGCGCACGCGCACGCGCACACACACACAAAAACAAATACAGGTAGATATACATACATACATACATACATACATACATACATACATACATACATACAT